CTAAATGAAATTAACAGCCAGCAGTGACTCAAAGCAGAACAAGAAGAAATGAAAGAATGAGATTCTCTTTTGATTGTGATTAGAATTGTGGCAGACTTTATTTGAAGTATTAATTAAATATTGGATTCAGTCCTATCAGACATTGGCATGCTCTAATTCCTACAATCAGCTATTCTGTTATTACTTGTGATGCATGTTGTTTCAGGCAGACTTTTTTAATAGGCTATAAGTAAGCTTTATCCTGGGTTGTAAGACAATAGCTAACAGAATATATTGGGTATACATCTTTTATGTATCCTTATGAATATTAACAAAACAAAACAAAAAAAATCAACAAAACATTAATTTAAAACTTCTCAAAGCTTGTAGTACAGCCTATAGAAGAAGGGGTTGACAATAAAGATTTTAGAAGAGTATGCACTTGAATTAAATGGATTCAAACAAATTTAACCAAGCCCTAAACAATGCATTTGTATCAAGCAGTGAACACAGCTTGAAAATAGCCACAAGGAAGTTGGTTTTAAAAAAAAGAATTCACCTTCAAGTGGAGCAAGCAAAAATCTGTAAACAGAAGAGATTAGTTTCTTCATTCTTCCTAATGGAAAAATGATTGCTCATTTCTAGAAAAGTATTTTCCATAACAACAGTGTTTAATTGTTCTCAGAAGCACATATGAATTAATGGTCAAACTGGGTAAGATGAGCAAATCACTTAATGAAGCATGTTAGTATGGAGAGCAAGTGCAGGAGAAGTTGATTTTGGTGGGGACGGGATGGGATGTAGAAACAAGACAGTAACTGGAAGTAAACGGAATGGGGTGAAGATTGTTACAACACATCAACTGTTTGCGATAATTTCTTGTGTACATGATCCTATCCCAATAAAATAAGAAGCACCCAGGGTAGCTTCCCTCTTTTTCTGCTGCAGGGCAGGTACGATGGAGAAACAGATGCCTGGTCCTTCTCAGACCATTTTTACCTTACATCAGCTGTTCATGTGTGTATGTTCTAACTGTACAAGATTTACTATACATCTGCAAGTTGCAATTTTTGCAGTTAATAAGCTGATCAAATGTGGACAGATTTTCCTGGAGGGCAATGAATATCACTTTTCTGATAAATTTTAACTTTCTACTTTACAGTTCTTGAGGCAATAAAGGTATCCTTTGAGAGTTTTAGATAAAGCAAAAGCAAACAGATTCAGAAAACTTCATTTTCAAAAATGGCCAAATCCTTTTTGGTGGAACTTTTACAGTCTCCAAGGGCACTTTTACACATGGTCGGGGGGGGGAGGCCAGTGCTTTAATTAGAGTGGCTGCAAGAGCTGCTCTAAATTAAAACACTGCAGCATCTCACGTATCAGCATCCCTGAGCTTAAAAATGGTGGCGGGGTGCTTCAACTAAAGCTCGTTTGATAAGCTTCAGTTCAAGCACCTCCACCATCATTTTTAAGTGTGGGGACTCTGATGCATAAGACACAGGAGGCTTCTGGAGAACAGTAGTTAACAGATATCTGGGTTTTCCATTTCTCATGGAAAAACAGAAACAACTGTAGATTTACTATTTTGCCCAAGCAAAATGCGGATTTTTCATTTTAACAAAGAAAAATGCAGATTTTCCTATTTTGCAAAGAGCCCTTTGCAGACTGGCAGAGTTGCAGCCTGCAAGAGGCTAGGGGGACTGGAAGGAGGGCAGTCAGGCAAGGGGTGCCATATACATGTATATGCACATGGCTGCCAGGCAGCCTAGAGAGCAGCTCCCACACTTACATTGGGTGGCGGGGAGGGAGAGAACTGGGATCCCCATAGGGAGGGAGGGAGGGAGGGAGGGAGTTGGCTGGGGCTGCCACAAGGCCCTGGTAGGCTCATCCAGGGGACAGGGAATGGAGCCAGCTCCCTGCCACTGCATGCATTCCCAGAGGGCAGGGGGAACCCATGCCCCCCACATCTGTGCATGAGGTGGGGTGGGGACAGGTGCAGACTTAGGCTCCCTGACCTGCTGCCCTCCCCCTGGGCCTTCCCAGCTTGGTGGGCAGGACCCCATGCAGAAGGGCAGAGCAGGGTCACGTGAGAAAGCTCCTTGTTGCTGCTATGAGCCCCATGCTGCACTGGCAGCAGCAGGGGCGGTGGCATGGGGTTATGCCTCTTGCTACTCCAAGGTATGCATGCATACACACACACACACACACACTGTATGTATATGTATTAGTGGCGCTTCATTTTAATCATGGAAAAATGTGGATTTTGGGTTACTTTCTTAACCCGAAAATTAGGGATTTTTTTTTTTTTTTG